TATATTATTATTTTTTTTGTATATATAAAGTCTATAAGGTTAAAGAGTGTATAATATGCTCAGTGAGGGGAATTTATCAAAATTGGAGCAACCAATCAGCTTCTCTGTTCAGTTTGTTCAGTTAAGATTTGAAAATGAGAGTGAGGGGCTGATTGGTTGCCATGCACAGCTGCTCCACATTTTGTCTGCTCCAGTTTTTGTTTCTTAAATTTGTTTATTAACTGACAGAGCCGACAGATTAGAATTACAGTAACGAGCATTGGTGCATATGTTACAGACGACATGTGGTCACGGTAAGGTCAAGCTCTATACAATGAATTCCACTGTCAATGGCAAACAGATCAATGGCCATTTGTATAACAACAAACAAAACATTTCAGATGTAACGTCAAACAGCATCTGGTGTGTGTATAGTACGGAGAAAATCTACAATCCAGCCAGATGTGGTTTGTGTCAGTAGTGAAAATATAAACTCTGTGAGAGCATCACGAGCCCCTTAGTACTATTACAGTGAAGCCATTCTAGAAGAAGCACACACTCAGCTTCTCCTCATTGTCTGCTCCAGTTTTGATAAATTCCCTCCCTTCAGTATGTTTTGTGATTGTAGCTTTAGAACGGTGAGGAGTTAGAAACTCTGTTGGCTTTTTAGTGTGGTCTGTGTTTCACCCTCTCCATTTGTCCTGGGGAGCTTTGGTGAAGGTAAATCTTTCAATGTCAAGATGATTCCAGAGACAACTGTCTGAAAGAGGATTTCCCTTCACTTTGGGAAACATTTCCACCACTTCCTGATGTGTCTTTTTAGGACGATTTCACCTCACTTCCTGTCGTAACAGACAGCAATAAATGAATCCAACTACAGTTATAACCATTCCTTACTCTTTTCAAAACTAAAAAAAGGTTTTGGCTAAAAAACACTTTATGGCAAATTAACTGTATTTCTCTTTGACTCTACAAACAAAGGGCTTATATTTTTTATTTTTTTATTTTAGCGCGACAGCGTTTTTATTCTGAATCGCACAGTCATCAGTATGTTGAAAATGATTTTGCTCCTTAACAAACAGTCATTTCTGATCTCATAGTTAGAGCAATCATTTTGGAGCATTGGACCATTGGTTTTATACTAATTGGTTTGTCGAAACTGCTATGTACATAACTTATTTTCTGAAAAACAAATGTCTGTCAAAAAAGCTTTTTCATATCTGTATAAAAATAAATTGTATCTTAATAATTAAAAGAATCTTTAGTGCCATCTGCTGGTGGCCTCTATATTTTCTGTCTCAATTATTTAAATCAATTACATTTGAAATGTATCTAAACCCAAAAACATTTAAAGGTGAACAGGCTTATGCCACCAAGCACTGTTATTTTCTCCCTATGTAGAAATAGCTTCTGGTCACGTTTACTCCTTACTTACAGAAGGAGAGGGGTGGTGTGCTTACATCATGCTTTCTTCTGTAGGCAGGGCATGACTGCACAGACTGAGGACTTCCTATAGTGTAACAGTCGCTCAAGGGACTAACACCTGAAGCTGGCATGGGATAAGGCTGACCCCCCCCCCCTCCCTACTTGGTAGGAAGTAAAGTTAGGTAGGTGGGAGTGTGATGCCAGAAGACCAAGAATACCCGCACTTGTGAGACGGAAACAACATAAGGGGGAACCCCAATCATAGACCGTTACATAGAACTGGTCTATCTGAACAGGGAAAAACCTCACAGCCTAGTGTGGGCAATGTGGAGAATTAACTCTTCAGGGACTGGGTCCAGAGAGGAAATTGAAACTATATCCTGGTCATGGAAAAACGGGAAATGAGGGTGCCTCAGATAACACTCTGACAAGTGGAAAGGTACATAGGGCCCAAACTTTTGTAGATCCTTCTACTGAAGAACCAGACTGGTTAGAATTGACTGCGTATGATGCACAGTTTACAGTGCAGACACCTGACTACACAAGATCCAGACGAATCTTGGAGGCTTTCAGTCCAACAAGCAAGAGTTGTCCATTAGGGCTCATGACAACTGTTCTCTCCACAGAGGGGCAAACACCCTGAGGAAGGCTAGCTGTGCAAGGGTGACACTGTTAAGTCAGAGCCCTGGTAGTGCAGTGATCAGCCAGTGTTGGTCTCAGCTGACAGCTCAGCTCAGTGTCCCTCCAGAGCGGGACAGCGATGGTGTATCTGATGAATACCGAGCACAGCTGATGGCTTTACATGTCCTAATGAAAAAAGAACAATTTCTCCGGGGAAGCGAAAAGTGCCCAGAATGAGACACAGCTCAAACTGGCACAGGGGCTAGAATCTCCTTGAGTAGATCTCATGACAGGAGAGATATGTCTGTGAATCTCTTCTGAGGCACAGGAAGGTAGAGGGTAAAAAGAATCAGTTTGTAAACCTTTCACTCTGCCATCATGCTGAACGCTTTTCTAAGGTTTTAGAGCGTGTCTCACTTTCAATTTTGCGGGTGACTGGAGAACACGTCATAGATAGTAGGTGAAGGAGAGGGATGGGACCCAGCTGACCTATCAGACTTCTTATGCTTGGGCAGATGAACATTCTGGCCTCCATTGATATCCTTGAGGGTAGGTCTGAAGAGATGTAGTCCCTAGAAGACCAAGTGAACACTGCATCTGCTTCCCAGCTCCTTAACCACAGAGCTCTGCACATCTGTATAGACAACACACAGATACAAGAAACAAGACTAGATGCTTAAAGCAGACCATCAGAGCTGAAGTATAGGCCTTCAACATCTGTTCTACACGCACACATCGGAAAGGGGTCCACTGCCACAGTGGAGAGATCCCTTTTGTGGAATTTACACCCATTTCAGTCCAGTTTGACAAATTAAGGTCATCACCAGAATAAGGCGAAGGGCAGAACCACCACATCTAACAACTGAGTCTTAAGAGGGATTCTATCTGTTAGTCAGTAAAAGACTTAATGGAAGAATTACCTCTATTGGTGTAGTTACTTCCCTGTTTAGATGCGTCACTTGCAGGTTTACAGTGGGTATAAACTATAATAACAAACTCCTTCCTAAACGGGAAAAGATCTTTGTAGCAGTAGAAGCTTTGAAACCCAGACAACTAGTAGCCGGTGAGGATGACTAGAGGTGACCAAAGCCACCGTAGACAGGCAATAGGCATGGACCAGAGAACAGAGTTCCAAGTGGCTTTTTTTCAAAGCAGGCGGAGCAGTGGGGTGATGCTTTCTCAACAATGACTGGCGGGAAGGAGAGTGGAGCGTGTGGCGATACTCTGCCCAGTGGATGGCAGCTATTAATCCCTTACCCTTGACATTCTCTGCTCTAAACCCAGTTGAAAGTGGGAAATGTAAGTGCACACTGTGATCCAGCAGTAAGTTAGCTTCCAATGCTCAGCCCTATTGGCCTACTGACTGAACGAGTCTTCAGAGACAGGGCAAGCGCAGAAATAATGCCAATTGCGCTGCACTGGAAAGCACTCCATTGTTAACCTGTTACCAGAAGGTCTAAAAAGCACCTAATGTGAAACCCAGTGCCCAAATGTCACTTCCAAGCTAGTCAAGCAACATGCAGTCCAATTCGGTCTGGGTACAAAACTCTAAAAGCTAGGCAGAGGAAAGGCCGCTCCAGATAGCTGCTATGTAGAGAGCAGTCAAGCAGTAAATAGCAAAGACTCTTGACCGGAAAAAAAAATGCAGAGCTGAAGAAAAGACGTCCATACTTACTAGTACACTCACAAAACATGCTTGGAATGGGAAAGGGCTATCCTGGTTTGGCATACAGATTTCTTGTTTGCCAGTGTCCAATCCTTCTGTTTGCGGCAGTACAACCCAAAAGTATATGATCTCCTTTAATGGACAAGATAAAAAATGTGAGTCAGAAAAAAAAGCTGTAATATATTAAATTTTTGGTTTGGGGTCTTGCTTTAAATCTATTTCAGAGCAAAATAAAAAACAAAACTATGCAGTGCCATCTCTGCAATACATGCACGCTTCACCATATTTTATCCCTTTAAAGACCCCTGCCTGTACAGACAAATAATACACTTACCTCCTACGTTGTGGGCTGACAATACATAGTCGTGTGAAAAGGAAGGTACACCCTCTTTGAATTCTATGGTTTTAGACATCAGGAGATAAACGTTGTAAAGAAGAGTGGGCCAGAATTCCTCCACAATGATGTGAGAGACTGATAAAGTCATACAGAAAACAATGACTTCAAGGTATTGCTGCTAAAGGTGATTCATAAAGCTATTGAAATCATAGGGTGTACTTAGTTTTAAAGAAGAACTATGAGGTGAGTGCTTTTCACTCACCTCATAGTTCTAGCCGACCTGTGACAATGAGACTGTCACAGGTCGGCTCAGTAGATCGGGAGGTGAGCGAACACATACCGGCGTTCGCTCACCTCTCGATCCTGTCACGGCTCTCTGCTGTGACAGGGGGAGGGGCTGGATTCCCCCCTCCCCGCCCCGTCAGCGCTGACTGGCGGAACGGACAGGGGAGGGGGCGGGTACAGCTGGCTCTGCCTCTAGATCAGGGGTAACCAAACTCCGGCCCTCTAGCTGTGGTGGAACTACAAATCCCATGAGGCATTGCAAGATTCTCACAGCCACAGACATGACTCCTGGAGAGAGATGCATCATGGGATTTGTAGTTTCACCACAGCTGGAGGGCCGGAGTTTGGCTACCCCTGCTCTAGATAGGCAGAGCCAGCTATCAGTCACGCAGCTGGGCGGATCCAGACATAATTGTCGTGATCTGCTTCAGCTGCGGCGTCTCAGTATACCGCGAGCAGCAGCTCACGGTACACTGAGCCTAGGGTGACGTGAGGACACTAGTTTGTGTCCTCCCGTTACCCTAAGGAGAACTATGGGGAAAAGCCTTAACCCCATAGTTCTCCTTTGAGATCTGCTAAAGACCAGATGATTTTTATTATGTCCTTTTAAACCGTAGAATTCAAAGAGGGTGTACTTTCTTTTTCACACCAGTGTAGCATTTTGGTGTATGGAGTAGTATACGCTCTGCCCAGTTTTCTTTTGCTAAACCTTTCAGACCCACCCCTGTCCTTTTTCTGCACAAAATAGAAAGAAGATAAGTATAGGAGGGCTTATTAGACTCCTTGAGGAAACACGGGAAGCATGCACAGGACAGCTGTGATTTTCTGACATGAACATTGGTTTTCGGTACCGTTGTGAGGAGTTAAAAACCCTGTCATGTTTTATGGTTGTCTGTGTCAGTTATGCAGATTTACTCTATTTGTCCTGGTGACAGTGAAAGAAATTTTTTTAATTTGGAGTTGTCACCAGAACAGAAACAGAGGGGAAAATTTTCCATTCAGCACATTTGCTCTGGTAACAACTGTCTAAGATGGCATTTCCCCTCACTTTGTTGTGCCTACAGGACAGGAAGGCAGATCATCGCCAAATTAACAGGTTTTAACCCTTCCAAACTCTATTAAAAAGATAAAAAATAGGCAGTGTTTACATATGTGCAGATACCCACACTTTTTAAAAGTAATGTGATATTAAAAAGTCTAAAGGTTTTAATGCTATTTTCAAATGCTGAGTAAATCCCTCACGATGGATGCTGCTTCTCAATGTTTAAAAGTTTTAGCTTCCCGCAGAATCAGCTGGTCCCCTGAGCACTGGCCCTGATATCCTTAGGGTGGCTTCTTCCCCTAGCAGGGCCCTATGGAGCTCCCTTGTGTGTGCCAGTAAGCTGTGTCTTTACAAACACAGCAAGGCAAGCCATGCCACTCCCCTCCCCCTCCTTCCGTCATTCCTCCCTTCTCCATGCTAATCGATGGAAAATTGTTGCAGGCTGCTCTGTCCCTTGTGATCTTGTTCTGAACAGGAAGTTTAGGAAAGCATAGCTAAGAGAGCTGGTACTGTTTGGAATAGGGAAGCACCAAAATTTCAGCTGCTGAAACATTTTGGCTAAAAATGATACTTTGGGCAAAATGCCCAAAGTACCATAACGGCTGAAAATTCTGTGCATCCCTGTGGGACCAAGACCAGCAGGAAGGAGAGGTTTCAGGATGCCGAGCGTGCGGAGACAGCCGTAACAGGAACCAAGCTCTCCTCCCGCACTGCCCTGCTCCTGTGATAAAAGAGTCAGGATGCCGAGTGGTGTGGGGGAGGAGTCAGCTGTCAGGAGACCAAGCTCTCTTCCCGCACCTCCCCGCTCAGCCTCCTGTGACAGCGATATTCCAGACTTTATCATCAAATACAATAGGTTTTTGTCCATCTGTAGGTTCATCCAGTGAACTATGCATTTGTATTAAAGAAAAGTGAGTAAAAGTAAGCGTATAGCCACGCTATGGTGAATGAAGGCAACAAAAAGCAATAAGCCTTTTATAAAATAGGATGTGAAATATTGTCTTGTAAACGTAGATATTATTTACTAGTTATGACAAATCTAGATATTCGGAAGTTTATCCTTTATAAAAAAGGACAGACAGCAGAGCCATGCACATTATTCCTTTTTACCCAACTGTGCATCCAGAACTGTGAATATATATAGGAGAAATATAGCCTAATAGAGAGCAACTTCTTTCACATTTCTCATAGTCGTTTCAGACTTGTTAGCCATCAATTGTGCAATGCATTGCCATAGGTCTTGGGGAGCAATAAGAGAGGAATATTAAGAGTCAAGTGAACAATTGAGTCTTTTTACAACAGGGGTTTTTTTTGTTATCACTTCCATAAAATAAAAAGTGCGTGTGTGTGTGTACACTATATTTTTCTTATACAAATTATAGTTAAGCAGATAGTATCCCAGCAGTGGCAGACCTAAGATACACTCTAATGCCACCCCACAGTCACACACTATTATTATACATTTATATATCTCTGACATATATCACAGTGCTGTACAGAAAACACTGAGCCAGTCACATTATTCTCTGTAAATAGGAGCTTACACTTTAATGCAGAATACCACCAGCTGTAGAGGGACTACAAATCCCAGCAATACATTATAAAGCAATGCAGAATAGTATATGAATTGGACTCTGCAACCTCCTGGACCCTGCACTTAGCAACCCCCTGGACTGCAATATTTAATTCAACACTGGGATAGAGAAATAGGTTATAATAGGGAACTTTACAGTGTAATGTTCCCTATTATAATCCATTTCTCTAAAAGAAAACACAGCACACTGTTGGCATTTCCTGGGCCCCCTTCCACCTACTCAATGACTTATTTTATATACTGTAGCGCTGCCAGAGTCCGACACCATCCCGCCCACATGGTCTGAAGGGGACGAGGCATGTGACACAGTGCCCGCATCAGGATAGAGATCCGGTATCAGATTGACAGCACGGAGCCTCTGTTCTGCCCGGCCTGCCGTATGCCACGGCAGCGCCGGCTCAGCCTGCATCGTGCTGCCCCCGTCAGTGGGCCCCCCTAGCCGTGGGCCCTGGGGTGGCCGCACAGCCGGTAGGTCCGCCCCTGTATCCCAGTTATATTTTGTGAACTGACACTATGCAAAGTAAACCGCAATCCCAGAATACTACAATATATTAGTAATAAAATAATGAAATGACAAATGAAACATAAAAAAACTCTGAAAATGTAGCCAGTGTATTTAATAAAGTTCAAATACATTCACAATAGCAGTGTGTTGTCTTTGCCATGTTATGCAATCCAGATGGAGAAATATCTGCAATACATCCTTTGTTTGGCCTCCATCGCTCAGAATAAAGACTGGTTTTATCGAAAGATAAATAAATCATCTTTAAAATTTGCCAAGGTTTTGTCTGTTTATTTGAGCAAAGTTATAAATGCTCAAGCTGTGGATCAGGAATCCATTTATTATGCCTGTCCAATACAGACCAACGTAGTGTTCCTTTGCACAGCAAGCAAGTTTATTCCAAATGAGCTATGTGGTGTTCTGGTTACCGCTGCAGGAGCTCATCAACATGCTTGGAAGCATCAAGATCTTTTCTTCATCTTTCCTTTCTTAAATCCATTGCTCTTCCCTCTGCCAAAAGCAGATTTCCTCATATCCTGCATTCTCTGCTTTGTTTTATTTTTGATTTTTTTCATTCCTCCGCTTTGTAAGAAACGCTGTTTATCCTGTGATCTTCTCTGCTTGAGAATCTGCTGTTTGGTGCGCAGCTCAGAGCGGACCTGGCCACGGGGGCCTGGTGTCTCTGTACGGGGCCCACCTTGAGGGCCACCACGTCTACCTGTTGACAATGCACAAAATGTTAGAAAAGCAGCACATTTAAACTTTGGGGAGCTCTACATTTAGGAAATATCAGCTGGCCCACTCATGCACAAATGTGAAAACAATAAAAATGCAACACCCAGCATGTAAAGTATGTCTTCAGAAGCCTTCAACTTCGGTACCCAATTGGGTCTAAGAGATGTTATGTGAATAAACACTTCAGGCCAGATCACATTGTGCTCATACACTAGCCAGTCGTGTAGTATAAATCAGAATCTTCCCAGTGTCCTAGTACCATATGTACATTCTAACTACAGTCTTTAATGTGACCCCGTTATAACCTTATACTATAACCTTATGATCTTTTTTTTTTTTTTTACTATTGATAATTTCTTATTTGTATTTTTAATGTGAGTTTTGGACCTGCCCTCCACATTGTGTTACCACATATCTTTCAGTCCCGGCCTCTATGGTTTCCCCAATATGGAGTGGAGCAGTTGGGCTGTACTGGTTCCCCGTATGGTGGACAGGGGCCTGACCTGCTGTCATTGGCCCCGCCCCACTGACTACACACAGCCTTTTCTGGTGTCCTTCCACCCGTCATTGCCTTGCTGTGCTCTGGGAGGTTTGGCCCTATGTATACATTTTTTACCCAGTGGTTAGCTCACCCTTTGTGGGTAGCGTTTAGACTTCTCACAATTCCCCTATATACGTTTCAAGCACATAATCTCTGTCTCCTAATTGGATTTTAGCCATTTAGCCCATATAGTGATCACTCCAATATCTAGGATGTTTGGTCCCCTTAGCTCCATTTTGTTGTAGCTGGATCTCCATGCATGCTTTCTAAGGAGGTGGGCTCTTCCTGTGGCTACCCACACCTGTAAGTCTTCATTTTCGTTTCTCTATAAATACTGGTTTAGGTACAACAACAAAGGCACCTTTAGAAATGTTTAGTAATGACAATCTACAAACCGATGCTTCTAGATAATTGCCGGCTTTTTATTCCTTGGATACCTTATTTTTCTTTCCCAGTCTTTGGACAGTGGCCATTGTAACTAAGGGCAGGATACTAGATCTCCCTTTACTTCTTGGAACTCTGGCACATGTGACGAGGACATGTGACCATACACATCATCTCAGGGGAGGAAAATGCCTTTCTCTGAGATCTCATGAGATTTCCCATCAATGCTCTGCTGATGTAACCCTCCCAGAATGTAATGCTTGGGCATGATTACATCATTTGTGCCAAAGCAGACCAGGAAGTGGGGGGAAAAAAATAAATTGTAAGTAAAATAAAAAAATGTTTGTTTAGCCAATGAATGCAAGAAGATTTTATATCAGCATGCAGAGCTGTATGCTGATGGGATTTTTAGTCAAAGGGGGTAAAGGTCCACTTTAATATGAGCACATATACTTTTCTTGTTTCAGTCTCTGCTTGGCAGCATATAGCTCAGCTTGCACCAGATATAGCCAGTGAATCCTATGGACAAGTGTTGGGTAGTTAGTGTTCTAGGGCAGAAAGCATAATGCATTCTTGTACAGTAAATTGCCAGTTATCCAACACCCCCAGGGTTCGGTAGATGACGGATAACTGTAGTCTCTGGTTGCTTGAGAGTCAACAGTAACTCTCAAGTAACCCCCAAGCTTGTTTATAATTTGTTGTAATATTTTATTTCCCCTTTCTTTAGGAATAGCAGTGCAATAAAATCTACTGTTGAGCTGAAGGTGTACTACTGCTGAACACCCACCTCTTCCCTTCTTATGTGTCCTTCCGGTCTGTGTGCCTTCATCTTCCTCAGAGTCCTGATCATCAATCTTGTACTTTTTCTTCCAGTCCTCATATCTACACAATGTAAAGGGCCAAACGCACACTCTTTTGCAGACCTACCTTGTTACACAAAATTAGAAAACACAGATGCTAAAAATAGAAAATACTGCTACAAAATAAGATACAGGGGTTAGGGTATTTACAGGCTGCAGGTCTATACTTTATTTCAGGGGTCTCAAAGTACCAGCCCATGGGCCAGTAACTTTTGGCCCTCAGGCAGGGTCGCCGATAGGAGGGGGGTACTAGAGCCAGCCCTCCTGTACCGAGCCCACTAGGTCAGCAGGGGGCTTGAGAACAGAGAGGGGGCTCTTGCCTTTTGCAGCAACCAGGGGCATAGCTAGGGTTGCCACCTGTCCAGGATTCACCCGGACAGTCTGGGTTTTGAGTCCTGTATGAGCTGTGTCCGGGTTTCAGGCAAGCGGGCAACCAGACACAAGATGTCACAATGTCAGGCAGACAGGGGTAACCACGGGGTCCTGGTGTTTCAATTTGAGTGCAAGGAGGCATGGGACACGGATGGACGCTGGAACTCGGGGAGCAAGGAGGTGTCTGAAACACAGGGCACAGATAAGCCCTAAAGGGCACAGGAATTCTGCTTCAGGAAGATGTGTTGCTTGCTATCTCTTCCCCCCTGGCTGTCTTTCTTCATGTGGCAAGGACAGCAAGGAAGAGGCAACTGGCACAGTGAAGCAGGCTCAATATAGCTGTGGATGGCTCCCACACCGTGCTCCCCAGGAAAAGTAGAGGGACATATCAGTCAAGCTGGAAAAATACCCAAGCACACCCCAGCAAAAGATAATCCTCGGAAACATCCTCTACAGAGGACAACGAATGCGAGGAGGACCAGCAACAGTGGATTCTTAAAGGGCCAGCCTCCACTACCACCATGGAATCCATGAGAACAGCTTTTGCTACCCCTTTGACTGAGCAGCTGACAGAGTTGGCTCTAAAGACCAATCATTTTCTAAGATATCCTTTCTGCTGTCCATACATGCAATGCCTCCTTATCCACCCTTACTGATCAGCTCCAAAGTATCAATAAGAGGTGTGCTTAATTAGATATGATATGCAGAAAATGAGGGAGCAAACTACAGCACTAGAAATCCATTTTACTTCCCTAGTGGACAAGATGACCCTTTTAAAGCGGGTTTTGCAAACCACTGATAAAATCTCCAACTCTGATTTTATCATTGAAGATATGGAAAACCATTAGTGAACAAACAACCTCCGCATCAAAGGGATTCCAGAGCGAGTAAAGGGCACAGCTCCTACTGACCTTATTGAACAGTGGTTGCTTAAAAGGAGAACTATGAGATGAGTGATTTCCACTCACCTCATAGTTCTAGCCGCCCTGGGACAATGAGACTGTCACAGGTCGGCTCAGTAGATCGGGAGGTGAGCGAACACATACCGGCGTTCCCTCACCTCTCGATCCTGTCACGGCTCTCTGCCGTGACAGGGGGAGGGGCTGGATTCCCCTCTCCCTGCTCCGATCTGCCAGCGCTGACTGGCGGAACGGACGGGGGAGGGGGCGGGTACAGCTGGCTCTGCCTCTAGATAGGCAGAGCTAGCTGTCACTCACGCAGCTGGGCGGATCCCGTCATCTCCGGCTGCGGCGTCTCAGTATACCACGAGCTGTAGCTCGCGTTATACTGAGCTTAGGGTAACGGGAGGACGCTAGTTTGTGTCCTCCCGTTACCCTAAGGAGAACTATGGGGAAAAACACTGACCCCATAGTTCTCCTTTAACACTTTCCGTAAGGATAATTTTCTCCCTCATTCAAGCACAACAGTATCACTCACCCTTCACCACCAAGGTGCTCTACCTAGGCCATTTCTGCTCAAAATGCTCAATTACAAAGACAGAGAAGTTGTTTTGCAGTTGGCAAGCAAAAAAACAAACTCAAAGTGTAATTTAAAATGCTAAAATACCCATATTTATGGATTTCTCTGCTCAAATTCAATGACGCCAAGCTAAATATTTGGCGGTTAATTGGAGACTCAATACTTCAGATTCCTTATTCCATGATGTACTCAGCGTAGCTGTGAATTGCAGCAAGTAGTGTGACACGTTTCTTTGAAACTTCAATATGAGTGATGGAATGGCTACACCATAATGAGAGACAACTCCCACAGAGAGCACAAGATTAATCAATCTCGTTAAGTGTTGTACCCCTATTTTGTCCTTATCCTTATTGTTTCCACATTCTTATAAAAGGGAGCTGTGGATATTGCTACCATTTCACTCTTTTTTTTGAATTTGCACATGCCCTGGAAGATATCCATTCTGTAAAAGTAATTCACCCTGGGAATGACTTTTCTGTCAGCTATGACCATGTTTTACACCCCACATAGAATTCCTGCATAGTCATTGGCTTATTGTTGTCATTTTGGAATTGTAGCGTCCACTGACACCAGCACCCCCCGACACTTATCCTATCTCAGACTCACCTATCCCTGATCCAGCCACATTTCGTCAATAAGTTTGCGCAGCAACTTGGTAAAATCTTATGACTTAGGCCCATGCACGCGCTGTGCACTCTCCCATATGAGTTTGTACTCCACCAAAAGTATAAACTCTCCTTAGCATCAAATGCAGTTACACTTAAAAGCAAGCATCTGTGGATGTTATTTTCTTGCAAGTGCTATACAAACAAGTCTGCACAGCAGCTAGAATATACAGCACTCAATCAGCATTTATACTAAAAACAGTCCATCAATGAGTATGACAACATCTAGATCCACCTCATTCACTACAAGGAGAATTCTATGTGTCCGGCATCAAATATCAGCAGATGAATTTATGGCAAGATCAGCTGTGTGCATCAGGCGTGTGGCATTCCTATCGCCTCACACAGGCAGTTTCGGGCTTCAGGCGAGTAGTTTTTTTTCTACATTTAGCCCGGCAGCGGGCAAGCAGCACAGCTAAGTGTAGTGTGGGAGCCGTCAATATGGGTGTACTATCTGTACCTGTTCCATGTGTTCTGAATTTCGCTCACAAATTGCAAGCACTCGTTGGTCAGTGCGGTCACCTGATGCCACTGACCAATGAGAAGCTCTTCTTCGCACTGCTAAATACGGTTTTGGGTAAAATTCATTTTTTTGCATCAGGACAAGTAGATTGTCATGAGGGAGAAGTAGATCGGGCCCCCTTGGACCTACAAGTCCTTGGACAAGTAGTTTTTAAAAAAGATTTCCACACCCCTGTGGATCTAGAAATGGTAAAAAAGTTGCAACTTATTGGGGAGGTGGGAGTACAGTTTCTCCGAGACCTATTTATTAAAGTATATAGAAAATGTTTACAGCACACCTATGACTAGTGTCAATAATCCATCTTCTTAATGGACTGTCAAATAACATTTCAGGCTACGCAGGGTCCCCTTCATCAGGTTTAAATATGAATGATGACAGGGACCCTGCGTGGCCCCGAGATGATATTTGACAGTCTGGTGCTGGTAACATTTTCTATATATCTGATGATACACGGCGCCTTCCGTGGTTACCAGCACCCTTCTTTGTACATACGGGTTCCGGTAAGGAGTGCAGTAGTTCCTCTCCAAGATTGCTATTTATTAAAGTGACACTAAACTCAGGAGTTACATCTTAAAAATGCATTCAAGTACCTTAACTGTTATTATTTGTGTATCACTCAGCAGTAGATCCTCAAATCATCTCTGAATTGGTGCTGACAGTGTCCTTCCTTCTGGAGGGTGGCTACTTTTCTTCCCCATGGTCCCTGTGTGTGTTGTGAAGTAGCCCCCGCACCAAGCCCGCTCCTGTGATGGACTACAAATGAGTAAACTAAACATAAGATTGTAGTCCATCACGGGAGCGAGCTTGGAGCGGTGGCTACTTTACAACACACACAGGGGCCATGGGGAACAGAAGTCTCACTTTAAGCTTATCTAAGCAATTTAGTTTATTATGCTATATTTCAAAAACTGTAACAAATGCACTGAAATCTATTGAGTAAAGGAGATTTACCAATGTAGAAAGATAATTTCTCAACAAACTAACAATATCAGCCATAGAAAGGATACATGTTTGTCTTATAAGAGCTGCTGATACGACGTCCGCTCTCTGTCTTTACTTTCCTCTTATCCTCATGTCCTCCAGCTCCCACAAACTTTTTTTTCTTACGATCCCTGAATGGAAAGGCAAAAACACACATGTAATATGTACAAAAAACAGTAAGTGACCCACTTCTAAATTTCACTAATGCAACTTAAAAGGTGAAACTAATATATGAGATAGTTCAAGCCGTGATTTGTCATAATTATGATGGTTTTCTGCACAACTGTCAGGTCAGCAGTCTTTCCCATGATTGTGATTCCTACTGAACCAGACTGAGAGACCATTTAAAGGCTCAGGAACCCTTTGCAGGTGTTATGGCTTAATTAGCTGATTAGAGTGGGACACTTTGAGCCTAGAATATTGCACCTTTTCACAATATTCTCATTTTCTGAGATTGTGGTTTTGGGGTTTTCATGAGCTGTAAGCCATAATCATCACAATTATGACAAATCACGGCTTGAACTATCTTGCTTTGCATGTAATGAGTCTATCTCATATATTAGTTTCACCTTTTAAGTTGCATTAGTGAAATAAATGAACTTTGCACGATATTCTAATTATTCGAGTTTCACCTGTATAGCTAGTAGTAGTTACATTCTTAGATAATCAGCATCTGCCTTTCCATGTGATTAGATTAAGATGTCTGTTTAACCCGTGTGGATATAAATGTTGGGGTATTTTCCTGACACTCATTAGAACTGAAGAAATGGCATGCAGAAGCTTTGAAACATCTTCAACATTACATAAGTCTAGTTGAGTGTGACTAACTACGAATAGCTACATATGAATATGCATTTTTTTTGGGAAAGAAATTGTGCTGGATAATGTTTTATTATGGTTTTGTTTTAAGATATTGTATAAAATGCATATAGTACGGTAGTTTTTATATGGACAGAGTAAGCTAGGATTAGAACCGCCATCATGTTTTCCTGCTGTCCAGAGTCGGAGATTTCCTATCTGTCACAGTGACAATGGTTTTAGCAGAAATAAAGTGAGGGAACAGCTAAAAGTAAAATAGATATTTATTAGTAGAGTAGGGGAAGGTTTAGAACGCCTGTCAGCTTTTTATTGCTAAACCAGAAATAGCCAGCACTCCTTTAACACTATGCATTAAAAGCAGAGTTGTTCGTAGCAAATCTAATGTGGAAGCCACACTGACCTGTCGAGGTCCCTCTCTATAGTGTGGTCCCTAATCTACAAA